CTTTCCCTCTCCCTCAAAAATGCAGGTGCACTTCCTATCATGAGTAAGATGAACACATAAAAATAGCATGCAAGCTATACTGAAAGAAAAATGCCAAAGGAAACCGAAGATTGTATTTTTTAAATCAGAATTAAAAAGGCAGGCATTAAAGAAAAGAAAGTATGGAATAATAAAAGAAAAATTATTTTCTTTTGGAAAAAACAGGTGTTTAAAACTAAATCACATCATAAAGCACTTTTCCACAAGAAGTTGCAATCTCTAAATAAATAATACAATTTTTAGTTAGAAAATTTATTTTTAAACTATTATTACCACAAATAGCTTATTTAACTCCACAATGGTAATATAAAATAATAAATATTTATGACCCAATATTGCAAGTCAGAGTTTAGCTTAAAGAAAAAGTAAAGACTAACAAAAGAACTATTTTAAAGTTGAGGATTTTCTAGTATATTAATTTCAAGCGGCACCTTACTTTTTTGAAACTCTTATTATATTCCTGATTTGATTATGCTAATTTTATTATAGACTTTTGTTTTTAACAGTCTCATTCTCTTTTTAAGGAGGGAAGAAGGACTCGTCTTCCTCCCATTCATCTGACATTTTAAAGAACAAAAGAGCATGAGAAGATAAAATAGGCAAGAAATAAAATAAAAGCTAGCATTTTTTTCTAAGAAAAAACAGAATGTGGTACCATACTGAGCCACCACTTTAGATGGGTACAGCATACCCAAGATTTTTAGCTAAAACAGGAAACAATGTTTACTTTCACATGTACATGCCATCAGCAGAAAGAGACAAGCACTAATGTTCATAAATAAATGTTCATAGATAAAATGCAGGACATCTCTTTAAAAATAACATTCAAAAATCCGTCATCTGAAATAAACTGCCCCATGTTAAAGACAATCTGTGACCAGAGCGTACGACTGTCTGACCCTTCTGTGTACTTAACCATCACCAGATAACGATGGCCTTGATTCTCAGTTGAAGGCCAGGGCTGCCTGCACACTAACTTTGACGTTCTCAGGGTGTCACCGGAAAACCTGATCACACCACCTTTAGCTACCTAATAAACCTATCACCATACTGATTTTACTCTCCCTCCCACATATTCAAAACTTCCCAAAGGTGGCCAGATCTAGGAGGGGGCCTCTTAACAGTGGGGTCATTTGCAGTGTGCCTGAGCAGATATTTAGCAACAGAGCAAAAAGGTTAAGAGTCCCTCTGTCACTTGCATTAACAAAGAAACATCTCAGCTCACTAAAAATTTTCCAAAAACTGTGTTCAAATGACTTACATTTTGTGTTTGATTTTTTTGAACAACTTCATCAATAAATGTCTCATATACTCTACCAGATTCACCTGTGGATTTATTTAAGATTTATTTTTACTTTTCCTTTTAAACTGCCTTCACTGGATCTGGCCCTTTCAAATACATCATCCTATATTATTTGTTATGGTCTCCTCTAGGAGTTAACAAAGCTAGAATCAAAATGCCTATACCACTAACTGGTTGAGTTTTCTTTCTAGGATGACAATGTAACTCAGGGATCCTTACATAAAAGAATACTATCAGGCCAGCTAGTGGCGTCGTGGTTAAAGTGGCTAGATCCCAAAAGGCGACTTGTGCGGTTTAAGTCCTGAACCTAGCAGCATAAAACACGTGCCAACATGTATGCATGCATGCCCAAAATCCCAAAGGGAGGGAGAGATGGCAGAGAAGGGATTGCAATGTGACCATCCCTTATAAAGGGGAGAGATGCGTTCTCATTCATTCTTTCTTTCTTTTTATTTCTCTCTGGTAAGAATCAGTGCCCTCTGGCAAATTAAAAAAATAAAAAAATTTTAAAAAGAATACTATCTTTGAATTTTTTTTGAGAGGATTTTGCTATAGGGTGCACGCGCTCGCCAGAAAGACAGAGAGAGACAGAGAGACAAAAAGTAAGAAATCATCCCCCCATAGGGTGGGTCATGGCCACATCACTATCCCTTCTCCTCCATTCTCCGCTCGGGATCTTGGGCATGCACGCGCACATGCCCGGCATGAGTTTAAGTCACCAGATCCAGGACCCGAACCACAGTTGACTACATGGAAGTCCAGGGACATAGCCATCACGCCAACTGTTAGTCCCACTATCTTTGAAATACTTAAAATTAATGCACAATGACATATAAGTATGTTACTCCTTCCTAAAATAGATCAAATAGAAATAAATTTAAGTACGAAACAATCTTTTTTTAAAAAAAGCCAATGCAATGTTCAATATCATCAGAGAATACAGGAAATTCAGGTCACATCTGTATTAAATTACAGATCCCTAGTATGAATAATCACTGTACATTTAGATTAGTATGATGTTAGCAAGACAAAAAACACATATACTAGTTCTAAACCAGCACAATAATATTTTAATATGTGACTCAAGAGAAAGCTCCGACTCATATGATTCAATACAGAACACTTATAAAATATTCCTCTGTAATTGGTCCTTAACCCACAGAGAATGCCACAGATGATTAGGGCCTTCCTCTGATAAAGATCATTCAACAAAGCAAAAAGGGACAATAGAAACTCATTTCAAAACAAAGGAGGTACATTTAGATCGCAGCAAAAAGCTCAATCACATTGCACGCTCTGCCTCTCTCTGAAAAACTGAACGCACTCAGTAACCTTACCTGTTTCTGAAATGTATGTAACAGGATCCTGCCGTAAAATTTTACCAGGTCTAGAAGGTAATGTCGATTTTTCTGGTTGTTTCTTAGTATTTTTTACAGGCCCTGCCTCCTCTGATTCTGAATCTGCATGGGAGAGGAAAAGAAAGCAATACTTTGAAAAGAAATACAGTATGTTTAAAGTCATTATTGTAAACCAATTAATTCCTCAAGGTCCTGTCCAAGGCATATCTCCTTTGTGAATTCTCATAGATTATCTTTACCCAGTGTGAAGCCTGTATATTTTCTATTGCTGCTGTTAGACATCACCATAAATATAATGGCAGAAAACAACACGAATTTATTATTTTACTGCTCTGGAGGTCATTAAGTCCAACATGGATCTCATGCTAAAATCGAGGTGTTAATGGAGCTGTACTGCTCTCTGCACACTCTAGGGAAGAGTTCATTTCTTTGCTTTTTCCATGTCTAGTGGCTGCCAGCATTTCTTGGTTCATGGGCCCTCCCTCCACCTTCAAAGCCAGCAGCGTCCAGCAGAGTCCCGATCATGCAGAGATCTCTCAGATTCTCTGACCTTCCTCTCTAGTAACTCTCTACAGCTCTCATCTGCCTTCCTAGCCCTGTGACTCCACTGAGCCCACTGAATAACCAGAATCACCTCCCTATTTTTTTAAAGAATTATTTTATTTAACTTTTTTTTTTAATTTTACCAGAGAGGAACAGAGAAAGACAGAAAGAGAGAGGGAGAAAGTGAATAAGCAAGCCACCAAGTCTGGGACTTGAACTGAGTCGGCCATGTGGGAGTCCAACTCTCTTAATCACCACCTGCTGGGCCCCATCTCCCTATTTTAACGTCATCTGATTAGTCACTTTAATGTCTTCTGCAACTTTCTTTCCCTTTGTCAAGTAACTGAACACATTCACAGGTTCTAGGAAGAAGTGGATGGAGGTCTTGGAGGTCCATTAATCTGTCTCTGGGCTTACTGCTCAGAGCACTTAAATGTAAATTAAGGAAAGTGTGAGTAACCACACAGGGCCTGCTACAAAACAGGTGTTTCATCAACTTTAGTGTCCTTCCTCCTCCTCTGCATGACACGTTTATAAATCCTATCTTACACTGTTCTAAACTGTATCAAACAATTAAATGTTCAATTCTCCCAAAAAAGGAAACTACTGGAGGACAGGGACAACACAATTCTTTCCAATTCCCTGCAGCACAGAGCACACAGTCAAGTACTTTTAAAATCCAATCAGAATCTTTACAGTTACCTTCAAAATGCAGACAATCCATAAATGCTTTCTAAGACTACATATTTTTTTTTTAAGTTTCTTTCATGAGAAGAAGACAGAGACTGAGAGAGAGAGAAACAGAACAGACTCCTAACAGGGTCTCACACGATCTTCCTCCTAGCCTCCCTGCGTCACGGCGTATGTACCAGGCCACATTTTTAATTTTAAGAATTCACACCAGATATGTCTGACAGAGAGAGTAAGAGAGACAGAGAGAAAAGGAATTCATACCAAATGAATCTTCTCCACAAAAGCAAGAACTAAAACTTCTTTAATTCTACCATCATTTTACTATCATCTTGTATATGATAAAAGATATGCACAAAAAAATCATATTTCCTATCTTGAAACTATATTCAAAGAAAAGCCTTTACGTTGTGTTTATCCCATTTAAAATTCAACAAAAAAAGGTATTTCAATGAAGCATGAAAATTAAATTTTACACTTTTGCTTTAAAAACAGTGTTCTAAGGCAATTTTCAAATTCAATTTCCAAGAACATCAGTTAGAAAAGAAACTAACATAAATGTTTAAAATACATATATTGGGACCAGCAGATGGTATAATGGTTATGTTGCTGGACTCCCAAGTAGTCAACCGTGGTTCAAGTCCCGGACCTAACGGCTTAAGACTCGCACCGGGTGCATGTGCATGCATGTCCAAAATCCCAAGAGAAGAACAGAGGAGAAGGGATTGCAGAGTGTCCACACTCAGTTGGGGGGGTGGGGGGGGCGGAAGCGACTTATCGTTTTCTGTCTCTCACTGTCTTTCTGGGGTGTACCTATTGTTACGTCTTTCTGGCGGGTGCACGCACACAAAAAAAAAAAAAAAAAAAAAAAAAGCTCTCTCTAAATATATAGATTAGATATAGATATAGATATAAAAAAAATACGTACAGACATATAAGATATTTAAAGTCTGAGGCTGTGACACACTTCATCATCCTTTGAAAAAATCTTAAATATATTGAGACATTAAGGTTCTACGAAGCTCTGCATTAAATGAAATTGCCTGAAACCTTACTGAGCCCAGAACCTCCTTCTCACAGCAACTATTCTCATCTGAGAGCTACGGCCCTGCTCAGAACACGAGTACAGATGACACTGCTGTATGGAATCTAAGATTATTTTAAAACTTAGAAGAAATCTTACCTGAGTCATAGATGATCCTTTTTCTCTTGTTTGGTTGCTTCTGTTTGGAGTCATCATCTTTATAAGAACTATTTACCTATAAATATCACAATATAATTAGAACACACAGAAGCCTGTATAACTTTCCTGTTTTTGTTCTCATTATATTTGGACTCAGTGGTTCTCCACCAGGTGCTGTTAAAAGCAGTGTTCCAAGGCAATTTTTCAAATTCAGTTTCCTAGAACCTCACTCAGAAAAGAAGTTAGAATGAATATTTAAAATACATACAGACATATACCACAGTTGAGTAAGTCTGAGACTGCTCCACTCTATCATCCTCTGAAGAAGTCTCAAACACATGAAAATACCAAGGTTCTGCTAAGCGCTGCGGTTACAGGGCATCAGGGCAGTTTTGCCCCACAGGAGACATCTGTGAGCGTCTGCAGACATGTGCCCAGTCTAACTTGGGAGGCAGAGGGTCACTGGCATCTAGTGAGCACATCAGGGGTGCTACGAAGCATGCTGCAATGTGGCTACATCCCACAAGCCCAACACCCTATGAGTCCTCCACAACAAAGACTTATGCGGGCTACAATGGCACTGATGTCTTTACTGGGCTAAAGACTAGTCCAGACAATACTACGGAAAAATACTTAAAAAGCTATACAGACTGAGCTTCCCTAATATGAAAATCTGAAATATGATCTGCTCCCAAATCCAAAAATTTTTGTGAGCTGACATGATACCACAGTAGAAATTCCACACCTGACCTTATAGGATGGGTCACAATCAAAAAACTATTAATAGAAAAATGTTCTATAAAATCGCCTCCAGGTTATGTGCACAGGTAGATATAAAACATAAATGTACCTCATATTCAGACTTGGATCCCTCCCCAGGGTACCGTTATGTATGTGCAAATATTCCAAAATTTAAAAAAAACATCCTAGTCCAAAATACTTCTGGCCCTGAGTATTTGGGGGTAAAAGATACTCAACCTGTATTCAGGTCTACTTTCAACACTAACCTATGTATAGTAAAAAGGAAAACGGGGCCAGCCAGGTGGTGTGGTGGTTAAGGAGGCTGGATCCCACACAGCTGACTCTGTGGCTTCAGTTCCAGACACAATGGCTTTGACAAACCAGGTGCGGGTATACGTGCACAAAGTCCCAAGAGGAGAAGGGAAGAGAAGGGACTGTGGCATGGTCATCCCCCTGGGGAGGTAGCACATTCCCTCCCACCACCACCCCACTTCTCTCCAATGAGTGAACATGCCCTATAACAAACAAAAAAAAAAAATAAGAGTAAAGAGTAAAAGGATGTTTCCTAAAAAGTCAAAAACAAAAATACAAACGAGGGGTTAAATGAGGCACATTGCAACACTCATGAGGCTGACTCATGGGAAGGTTCCACGTTCACAGCCGGAGAGCTCTGCAAGCATCCCAGGCATGAACACTCCCATTACGTGGGGCTGGCTGAAGCTAAGACTCGATGGAGATGCCTGTGTGTGTGTATCCATCTGTCTGTCTTGCTGATGAAAGAAAAAACAGACTTAAAATAAGCTTAGTTAGTGGCCCGCCTAATGCCTGTTGGGAAACTAAATAAAATCAAGGCAAAAGGGTTTTTTTTTTTAATATTTTGAAGTTAAATACCATATTTCTAACATATTCAGATTTTCCCAAATGCATCAACAAAGCACGATAAAAAGCTGTCATTGACTATAAGGTAGAAATATAAGCTATTTCTGTCCACTATAATAAAACTTCAAAAATGTAAGAGCGATTAACTAGCATGCAAGAAAATAAAGCAACCATTATAATTTACATACACCAGTGAATCAGAGGACGGAGTTAGAAACAACTACAACTCAAAGTAAGAGAAGGTGTCCTGGAAGGGAGACAGCCACAGAAAAGGAGCCTGTTCTCTGTGAAAGTTAGAACTTATAAATTAGGTATTTGGCTGAGAAGATCTTTAAACAAAATGCTAATTGCGCAGACTGAATCCTCCCAACAGCTCACCGTAAAATGTGAGCAGAGAGAGATAAATTAAAAAAGGGACTGTTCATCAAAAAAAAAAAAAAAAAAAAAAACGGAACTTAAAGATTTAGAGAATTCCTCGCCTGCCCATATTGCAGAAAGTGAGAGCGCATGTTCTAAAGAGAGTATCAAAGCAGGACTAGCTCCCATTAGAGACTCCAAGGTTATACAAACAGAAACACTGCCAGTGTGAACTGAAGGGGATCGAAAGGAAGGCTTCTTGGATTCCACAGGCCAGGAAAATAAGAGCTAGTCTCCATGAAAAGGAAAGTTGACTCCAAAGGCAACTCAGAGATCGACAGGACGCCTCTGGGGTTTCGAGGGGTAAGAGTCACCTTGGTTTCAATGAACCAGAGCTTCCACTGAAAACCTTGGGAAGAGGATGGCCCTGCAGAGCAGCAGAGGTAGGACCCCACCCCAGTGGGTCTGAAAGACATCAAGCCAAAGATAACCATTCTCTAGCCTTAAGACCTAATGGACAGGCCAGTCAGTGATGAGCCACATGGCAAGGCTCAGGTTAACATCCAAGCATGTGCCTAAGACTGCCGAGCTCCATGATGTGGGATGGGCTGAGGGCTGGGGGATGGATCATGACATGAAAATCCTGTTGGGGGGTGGGGGTGCTATCTCTCTGCTTCCTTCTTTCTCCCTATCTCTCCCACTTGTGGAAGAGATAAACAAACTTTAAAAGACATTTTTAAAAGGGCTGGCTCCAAAGCCTAGTGGTGAAAGGATCCAGATCCTACATGGCCAACCACGGTTTTAATCTTGGCCTCAGCAGCTTGAAAATCATGCCAGGCCCTGTGTGTGCATGCCCCCAATCCTGAGGGGGTGAAGATATGGAGGTGAAAGAACTGAGGAAGGGCCACATCCCATTTTGGGGGTGCTTTCTCCAGCCCTCTATCTGGGGAGCACATACACCCTCGGGCAATTGAAAAAAAAATAGTGTGATTATGGAGGCTAGATCTCACATGACTGAGTGCATGGTTTGAGTCCTGGACCCAGTGGCTTAAAGAACATGCCAGGTGTGGATGCAAGCATATGCAAAATCTCAAGAGGAGAATGGAGAAGGTACTGCAGTACGGTATGGACACCCCTCCTGGGAAGTGCTTTCTCACTTTCTCTCTGTCTCTCTCCAGCGAATGCATATGACCTATAGTAAATTTTAAAATAATACCAAAAAAAAAAAGACTAAATGGAATTTGCCTCGTTGGGCTCTGGACTTACTTGGTTGGGACCTATAACCCCCTTCTTCCTTCTGATTTCTCCCTTTTGCAGTTAGAATGTCTATCTGAGGCTTGTTCCACCATCACATTTTAGAAGAAAAATCTATTTGCTTTCACAGGTTGCCTCCAGATGAATCATACCTCAGACTCACTCGTATCTGATTTGGATATTAAGGTCTGATTCTGGACTTCAGTCATGATGCTGTAATGAGTTAAGGCTTTTGGGGGCAGGTGGATGGAATGAATGCAGTTTGCACACAAAAAGGACACGAATCTGGAGTGGCTACAGGTGGAATGTTACAGACTGAATATTTCCCCCCCCCCCCCAATTCAGATTAAAGCATTAAACCCCAACGTGGCCAAATTTAGAGATGAACCTCTAAGGAAGTAACTAAGGTTAAGTAAGATCCTAAGGACAGGGACCTTATCTGACAGGATTAGCATCCTCTTCAGAAGAGATACCGGCCGGAGCGCTAAGTCTCTCTCCAAAAACACGCACTGAAGAAAAGTCATGTGAGCAATCCAAGAAAAAAGCTCCTTACCAGAAACCAAATTTGTCAGAACCCTGGTTACGGTTCTGACCAAGACTTCCGACCTCAAGAACTGTAAGAAGATTCATTTTTGTTTAAGCTATCCAGTCTACAGTATTTCATTATAGCAGTCCAAACTGACCAATGCATGGCCCACAGACCCTAAAGAAAAAGCACTTGCCGGAGACCAGGAAACCAGTCCTGATAAAAATGCAGATTTTACAACTGGCATACAAGAATGTTAAAGAAGCTACTGTATGTACATTCAAGAACATAACAGAGGGCTAGCCCTCCAGAGCAGCCGATAAATACTGCACAGCTGGATTCCACATGGCCAACAGGGGTTTGAGTCCCAAACCTACTGGCATGAAAAGCAGACAGGCAAAAAGGATACAGAACTGGAGGGGAACAAGAAGGACCGCAGCAGAACCAGGCACTGCAGGGAGTGGTGGGGAGGGCCTGCTCTTGACACTCTCGTTCTCTGTCTCCCACATGCACAGGTCCTCTGGCATTAAAAAGGTAATATAAAAGACAAAACAATTATGTAAAAGAACTGACAGAAAGTCTGGTCTAGAAAAACACTATATTTAAAATGAAAAGTCACTAGAGAGCCTTACTGGCAAATTGGAGATGAAAAAAAGAACTGTAATGAACTTGAAAACAGAAAAAGGGAAAATATCCAACCTGAATACTGACAAAAAGAAATAAGCATCAATGATCTGTAAAACATATCAAAATCCTAACATGTATGTCACAGTAATTCAAGATGAAGAGAGAAAATGGCAGAAAAAAACATTTGAAGAAATAACTGCAAGCAGTTACAAATTTGATGAAAGTTACAAATTTAGTTCAAGAAGCCCAGAAACCCAAAACATGATAAGCACAAGAAAACCACACCCATGCAACCACAGTCAAGTTGCTGATAAACAGTCTTCAGTGAACCATGGGGAAAACAACACATTAATGTAAGAGAAAACAATGTAAGTGACTGGTAACATCTCGTCAAAGCACCAAAAGATGGCAGGACATCTTTAAAGTGCTGAAACGAAAAGTTGTCAAGCCCAAATTCCATATCCAGCAAAACTATCTTTCAAGAATGAAAGCAAACTAAAGACATTTTCAGATAAAGGAAAACTTACAGTACCCATCACAAATGACCTACGTGACAAAAAATAACAAAGGGACTTCTTCAGGTTAAAAGAAAATGCTATTAGATGAAAATTCGGATCCTCAGTGAGAAATAGCGAGCTTCGGAAATAGCAGCTATGTGAGTAAATTCGAAAGTGCAACTTCTTCCTCTTAATTTCTTTAAAATGCACACTTGTCTAAAGTAAAATTTCACTGAACTGTGGCGTATTAACATATGCAAATGTGATATCTATGACAGTTAGGGCATAAAGGATGAAGCGGTGGTAAAGGGAATTGGAATCATAAAGTTCTTATATTTTAGATAAAGTAGAACAGTAACTTGAATACACTGGTCTAGCCACTGCCTGCTTTCTACGCCTGGCCTGAGGATAATAAGGGGAAAAAAAACAGCTTTCGTTCAAAAGCCTGCCCCCATGAGAAGACCAACACCACTCTTCTGAGGCTCATGATTCTATGAGCAAACACTGGTTTTTAATTGTAGCATTTTAACAACTAAAAAGGTTCCATCCCTACGCCAAGAAAACACTAAGCTACAAATGTAGTAATAAGCTATCTTAATAAGAAATAAATAACAGCCTAGCCTATCATTTTTCTTCTTCCTCTACTAAATGAATTGAAATCTGTATTTACTCAAGCCTCCCAACCTCTATCCAGCAGCTTAAAACTCATACTGGGCACATGTGTGTGTGTACCCAAAATCCCAAAAGGAGAATGGAGGAGAAGAGACAGCACCCCTAGGGGGTGATTTCTCACCTTCTATCTCTGTCTCTCTCACTCTCTGTTCTGCAAGCATACATGCCCTATAGCAAAAAACTCTCTTAAAAAAAAAAAAAAAACACACTAAGCTTATTTATTAGTTCATAAGGTTTATACAATACAAAATACTTGAAAAACTAACCTTAATTTCCTTTATTCCTTTCTTTACTTTTAAACTTTCTTCTGTGGATTTTGTTTTCTCATTCTTCTTTATGGTTTCACTTACAAGTTTCTTTCCACTTGGTATAACTCCAAAGAACTTCCGAATGTCCTAAAAGCAAGAAAGATCTGTAAACAAACATTCACTGCAGAAAATTCTAACTTTAACTGTAAAATGGGACAGCTCTGTGCACACGCTGGGTTACTCCAAGTACCTTCTCCATGCCGAGACAGTTCTGTGTGTGCAGCAGCGTTCGTTTTGTATGTAAAGGAATTGGTAAAATTACCTGAGTCTAAATTTGACTACCAAAATATAATACTAGTTCTTAGATTTGGGACAAAAACAAGGTAAAAATAAGCAAGTGAAATTTTTGTTAGTGACTGTGCGATTAGTAAAGAGGCAAGCAAGCAGGAGGTTCTGCTACACAAACGCACACACGTACACATCTGTCTCCCATCATCCCAGACACACGTGGGAAGAAGGCAAAGTTGGAAAATACGATCCTTCTCTATGGGATCTACTTCAAGTGTGAGAGAAGATGAACTCTCCCAACTCGATCATTCTTAGTAACTATAGTAACAACCTTGACATTGTTCTTCATGGGATTTTTCCAAATTCTGAAGAAAAAGCTTTTGAGGCTTATTACATATGTTCTTTAATTACCCTATCTCCATGTTAAACTAAAAATTCCAATTTATCATACTGCAACATTCACAAAGTAATGTATATATAATCAAGTCACTCACTTTTCTTATCCTTTGCATATATATATTCTTCCCCTCCCTTCTAAAATTCAGTGATGAAGAAGACTTGGTGTAGAGGAATGGGGAGAGATCTGAGAAGGACAAAGCCTTGCTTTGAATTCGTGCTCTAGAGCCTTGGACCTCGTGACCTTGGGCAAGTCACTTTAATTTATCTGATTCTGTTTTCTCTTCAGTAAAGTGGGACTACTAAGCACACCCTTTAAAAGGATTAATTATGTATCTAAGTTTGGGCTCAGTAAAAAGCCTCCCATCATTTCTAAACTATTATCCCTTCTTATCTCAACTTACAGAGAAAGGTGTAAAACACACAAAATAATGAGAAGAATTTAGGATCTGAATCCCCATCGGATTGGGTTCAAGAACCAGATGTAGGATTGGGGAGGCAGGTAGCATGATTCTTAAAGCACTGGATTCCCACATGGCCAACCACAGTTCAAGTCCCGGACCGGACAGCTTGCTTTCTCACTTTCCCTTTCTCTCTCTGTTCCTCTGGTCAGATTAAAATAACAACAAATAAAGTTAAATAAGTAAAATAAAAAAAAAAAAAAAAAAAGTAAAAAAAAAAAAAAAAAAAAAAAAAAAAAAAAAAAGTAGAGAAAAGAACCAAATGTACCAATTTCCTTCTTCCTATCCACGATGGCTATAATCCTGAGTTTTCAATACTTTTTACCCTCCCAACCTTTCTCTCCTTACAAAAGGAATGCCTATCAAAATACTTTGTAAGTGTAAGAAAAGTTAGGAATTAGTTCCTTGATCCTGACAGTAATTGTCATACTAAATCTTACAATGTCAAAATTTCCAAGCAAATGTGTTACCACACAAATAGTTTTGGAGCTAAGCTAACAAACAAAACAGATAAATGAGACAGGCTGGCATGTTGAATTTTCTCTTAAAAAAAAAAATGACTTAGAGACTTCTTGGTTTCATACCTTCTTTTATAAATCTCCTAATATAGAAAAGTTACAAATCCATCAATTAAGTCTAAAAAATCTTACAGAACAGATACCTCAGCTACGAAATTGAGACATTTATGTCAGGGCCAAAGAAGAAAAGGACAATAAAAAAAGCCTCGGTCTTCCTTATAACTTGCAAAAAATTAAGTTTGAGGCTGACAACTACTGACTTTATTGCTTCTGGAGGAAATGAGAGTTTCACATTAGAGTTTCACTTCTGAAATGACACAGTGGCTCTTCACTCGGTGTGCACACGCGATGGAACTACCAGAACTGTGGGTAAACAATTCGGTTACAGCCACTGTGGTTTTCAACCTCTGTTTGGACCACAAATGCTTAAAACCGCAGAGAAACAAAACCAAATATAATTCAGAGCAGGACAGCTGGAAACACCAAGCTGACTTCCATCTGCACAAGCTCCTCTACACACCCCTTCCTTCCTAAGTCACCCTGCACTCTATCCCCTTTGTTTTCACTCCACTGTTCTACCCCACTCCTCCCACAGCTCTACTCTGGGGGCCGAAGAGTTAAAGAAATCATAGCATCCTGATATAATTCAATATACACTGAAAACCTAAACTTCAGGGCCGGCCTCATAGCCTAGTAGCTAAGGGAGTCAGACCCCACATGGCCCGCCATGCTGCAAATCGCGGCCCCAGCAGAATGAAGAACATGCCTGATACATAAACATGTGTGCCCAAAACATCCGGACAGGATGAGGAAGGAGAGAAGAGGATGTGGCATGACCACACCCCACTGAGGAGTGCACTCTCCCTTCCCTGTCTTTCTGCAGTGAGTACACACCAAGTTGTAAAAATCTAAACGTTAAAGAGTTTTCATCAGAATGGAAGCCACACCTTTTTAGGACTGTCTCCAGTGTGAGCGGCCATCTTGGATGTGAACATCTAAGGGGCACAGGCCAGCAATGTGGCCTGAATTTATAAAGCGTGACATCACCTTACTCTTGCAATGAGCACTCCCTGCTTAGTATTCTAGGTCTTCAAATGCAGAACAAGTCTAACAGCTTATCACGCTCCCCAATAATGGATCTAAATACCTCCCTAACCTGAACAGAATAATTCTGGTTCAGTATATAAGTGGAAAAAAGAAAAAAAATTTTACTTTTATAATCTTGACAACAGGAAGGTTTTCTAAGCAGAATATCAAAGATAAGATCAAACATAAAGACAGACAATTCGACTACATAAAAATAAAATGCAAGAGGCCAAACAAAACCTAAAATATTGGATCATCAGAAAAGTCATGAAAAATGCGTCATGACTTTTCCAACCATCCAATACAAGCAACTAATTTAAATTTTCTACAATATATGTGATATATGAAACGGTTTCTATAAATCGATTTTAAAAAGCCAACAGAAAAATGAATAAAAGCTACTAATAGGCAAAGTATAAAAGACAGCAAATAACCAACACACATAATAAAAAGGAGGACAACTTAACAAATAAGGGACAGATAAATTAAAATTTGGTTGTTTTCCTCTCAGTTTTTTCTTCTTAAAGACTTATTTTTTATTTTATTTATTATCATTATTTTTCAATTTTGACCAGAGAGACGGACAGAAAGGAGGAGAAAGCAAGCCACCGGGCCCAGGACTTGAACTGTGGTTGGCCGTGTGGGAGTCCAGCACCTTGACAGCATGCCACCGGCTGGCCCCTCCTGTTTTAAGACTGACAAAGTCCTCTTTTGTCAAGGGTGTGGGAAGATAGAAGCTCAGGCCCTACATTGCTGCTAAAGGAATAACTGGTAGAATCTTTTGGAGGATAACCCAGCAATATATATTCAAATTTTAAATGTACATACCCTTTGTCCCAGTAATTCCATTTCCAAAAGAAACAGTAAAAGAAGTAAAGATATTTGAAAGGAAGGAAGGAAGGAAGAAGTCAAAAGACAATAGTAATTAACTCTTCCTACTTTCTTCTTCAACTATTACTGCTTAAACCAACAGGTCAGTTCAAGCAAGACAAAAGATTTAGGCAAGAAAGCACATGAAAGTTAAAACGAATGTCAGCAGAGTTTTCCAAACTTTATCTAAGTCTGTGTCCCGATGACCCTATGAGGCACACAGGTAAACACGGTAAACAGACCTAGAATAATGCACCCACTAGATGGATGGATAGACAGACAGGTGGCTAGCTAGATAGGTAGGTAGGTAGGTAGAGGGCAGGTAGGCAGGTAGGTAGAGGGCAGGTAGGCAGGTGGAGGGCAGGTAGGTAGGTAGAGGGTAGGTAGGTAGAGGGTAGGTAGGTAGAGGATAGGTAGGTAGAGGGTAGGTAGGTAGAGGGTAGGTAGGTAGAGGATAGGTAGGTAGAGGGTAGGTAGGTAGAGGGTAGGTAGGTAGAGGATAGGTAGGTAGAGGGTAGGTAGGTAGAGGGTAGGTAGGTAGAGAGGTAGAGGGTAGGTAGGTAGGTAGGTAGAGGGTAGGTAGGTAGGTAGGTAGAGGGTAGGTAGGTAGGTAGGTAGAGGGTAGGTAGGTAGGTAGGTAGAGGGTAGGTAGGTAGGTAGGTAGAGGGTAGGTAGGTAGGTAGGTCTAAGTCACCCTGCACTCTATCCCCTTTGTTTTCACTCCACTGTTCTACCCCACTCCTCCCACAGCTCTACTCTGGGGGCCGAAGAGTTAAAGAAATCATAGCATCCTGATATAATTCAATATACACTGAAAACCTAAACTTCAGGGCCGGCCTCATAGCCTAGTAGCTAAGGGAGTCAGACCCCACATGGCCCGCCATGCTGCAAATCGCGGCCCCAGCAGAATGAAGAACATGCCTGATACATAAACATGTGTGCCCAAAACATCCGGACAGGATGAGGAAGGAGAGAAGAGGATGTGGCATGACCACACCCCACTGAGGAGTGCACTCTCCCTTCCCTGTCTTTCTGCAGTGAGTACACACCAAGTTGTAAAAATCTAAACGTTAAAGAGTTTTCATCAGAATGGAAGCCACACCTTTTTAGGACTGTCTCCAGTGTGAGCGGCCATCTTGGATGTGAACATCTAAGGGGCACAGGCCAGCAATGTGGCCTGAATTTATAAAGCGTGACATCACCTTACTCTTGCAATGAGCACTCCCTGCTTAGTATTCTAGGTCTTCAAATGCAGAACAAGTCTAACAGCTTATCACGCTCCCCAATAATGGATCTAAATACCTCCCTAACCTGAACAGAATAATTCTGGTTCAGTATATAAGTGGAAAAAAGAAAAAAAATTTTACTTTTATAATCTTGACAACAGGAAGGTTTTCTAAGCAGAATATCAAAGATAAGATCATGCATAAAGAAAGACAATTCGACTACATAAAAATAAAATGCAAGAGGCCAAACAAAACCTAAAATATTGGATCATCAGAAAAGTCATGAAAAATGCGTCATGACTTTTCCAACCATCCAATACAAGCAACTAATTTAAATTTTCTACAATATATGTGATATATGAAACGGTTTCTATAAATCGATTTTAAAAAGCCAACAGAAAAATGAATAAAAGCTACTAATAGGCAAAGTATAAA